CCCCGCGGGCGGCGGCGGGAGCGGCCCTGAGGGACTCTTGCCCTGAGACCATTGCAGCCTTGGAACTGGAAACTGGTGTGGTTATTTAGAAATAAATAAAGTAGCGCTTCTCTAAAGACCATAGGTCTGGAAAACGCCAGGAGGTAGTTTTGTAATGCAAAAGTAGTTAAAGTTTTGTACGTACGTAGGTGAAATGACAGAAGGTATGGGAAATAAAGGAGTATTAAGAGTTTATCCTGATTTTTATGTGCTTGTAGACAAATATTTTGCTGAGGGATTGGGGGTAGGTAGTCTTTTGATTTTGGAAGGTTGAGAAAGGGGAATATAGTAATAAAAACTATCATCATGAAATAACACTCATGCGACTCATGTTTATTTCATTTTTACTGTTGTGGTTTTGGGTGGGTTTTCTTCCTTAGACCAAAGAAGAAAGAATAGTTGTCCTGGAAACTGAAAATGCTGCTCTTCATCTAAAACTTGCAGAGGTAACTATTGTTTATTTTTCCAAAAAGATTTCTTATGAAAATAGAAGAATAAGACACTGAAATATGCCTTCCTATTTTCAGGTTTTGCAGCCTCTTTACCTGTTGGGGAAATCTATGAAGGGATTAAGGCTCAGCATTTCTTTGTTTCTTTCTTTTTTTTTTTTAAATCATAACTGGTAGCAGTAATGGTAGACTGATTAAGTAACTAGAAGTTGACATACTTTTAAATAATTGCCATTGTTTTAAATCTATAAAAATGAACTGAGGGAATGACTCTGCAAGCATTAAATATGGAATATCACTTTCTGCTTGTAGGGTAAATGTTTATCTAAAAGACAAGGGTAGATTTTGAAGGAATACTTTTTAGACATAATTAGGAGGATGCTGTGAAAAGGACTGTTCACAGAGTGCAGGAAAGACTTTTCATTATGAGTAGCTTACCAGAGATGCCCTATTGCGTGTCTTCATAGCACTAGTGTTACACTTGTCTAGAAAAGGCTGTACTGTTGCAGAAGTCGGTCACAGAGCATACAGCAACAACTGGATGCCCTCATATTCTTATATCCTTCTACAGAAGCATATGTTGTTCCTAGACCATTATTGAAACAAGGAGCAGCATGTGATAATGTTTGGGGTCTTCAAAGGTAGGATTTCAGAGATTTAGAGAATTTTGAATGTCATTCTATATTGCTAGAACAGAGCCAGCTGTGAGTATTACTTGTGATACCGACTGTTGGCCAAGAGTTTCTAATCTGGGCTGAAACACTAAATGGTTGGGTGACCTCAGGAAAGCCATTTGCCCTCCCTGTGAGTTTGTTAACACCTGTGGATTAAAGTGGGTTTAACATTTTTCAAAACCTGACTGGAAGCAGATGGTACATCTGAAATTAGTTTTGCTAGGTATGCAGCAGAATACTATAATTTATTCTGAGAAAATGTTTCTATTATTTTTGTTCTGCTTTATAGTATTTACCAAAAACCTCAAGTGTTTCAGCTGATATTTTTTTACCCTCATAAGCGTAAGAAATCAATTATTCTAGTCAGTAAGGTGCATCAGATGTAGGAAGAAGTTATCTGAGTATTAGATAATGAAGCCTTGTTTTCCATATGCAGCACTGTTTCATTTTACTGCAAAAGGTGCTGGAACATACGAGCATCTGCAGACACATGAGGAGCGTGGCAGTGTTACCACCATCAGTCAGAAACAACATCAAATGATTCATGGAAATATTTTGCAATTAACCTTGCACTGATGTTTCTATTCAGGCAGTTATTTAAGTATACTTAAGACTTTTGCTTCTCCTTGGTTAGTTCGCCCCAGCAATCTGAAAACATGAGCTAAACAGACACCTGTGAAATGGTTTTACCTCAATTGAAGAGTCTATTAAAAAGAATACAAATTTTAATTAGATGAATTCAAGGTTGTGCAATGTTGCACCATATCTTCCAATATTTCACCATCTGTGCTGGTGAAAAAAGCTGCTGCCCTCGGCTATCAATCAACTGACCCTTCAGATCTGCTGGTGGAGCTGCCTGAGTGATTGAGCTATAACAAGTCCAGGCACAGTGACCAGGGTTAACAGAGGTCTAATTCTTAACTTGTACGAGCTAATTGGATTTGTTTTGGCTGAAGTGAGTTAGGAAGCTTTGGAGACAAACTTAGGAGCATAGCCACAAATTAGGATTTGCAGTGTAAATGTTTGTCTATATGTTGCATCAGTCTAATAAAAAATTACCTCTTGCTACAGACCTTCCCTTGCTTTTATCCTTAAGACAATCACGAATATCAGCACTGCCACTGTTTTCTGCAGCCCAGTATGTTATTATCCTAGCAGCATATTGTAGGGGTTGTTATGGAACATAAGAAGTCAGATTTTTTTTTCTCTGTAGACTTGCTTTTGCCTATTTGGAAATGTGTTCGTCTACCTGCATGCCCCTTGCTTTTGTTAGCAGTCCTTGAGGTCCTGAGCCTGCAGGCTTCCATACACAAAGCCAAGTCTGCCAGAATGGATCTGATTGCAGAACTGAGATTTCACTTTGGAGAACACTGTTAAGTAGTTCAGTTTCACTTCTGTTTATTATAAAGCTGACTATAAAAAGGTTTATAGTTGGTTTTTTGCTTCTCCTGCATGAGCACCGATTTGCAAGTTTTGGCCTACGAACAACTCTGATGAATGCTAAGACTATTTTCATGGAGAAAACCTCAAAACCAAGGCAGCATTTGCAATAAAGATAAACTTGACAGCGGAAGTGATGAGAGGTTGACTGCAATGACAGTAGAATCGGCCATTCCGCTTTTATTGTTCGTGTTGAGAAAAATGGGGGGGTCAAGGGGAACCTGTGCAGATGGTGGAAAACGTATTACATGTTAGAAGTAGGTTTTAACTAGCTTAACCTTATTTAACAATAAGGCTTGAGTACTGCAATTGCTTAGATATATACTTACCTTTTCACATGTGATTAGAGATACTAATTCTGGTGCACTGCTTGTATGCATTTTTGTCAAGCATGTTTGTAAATATTGCATCTAAGTAACATAAGTCTTGAAAATCGTCAGAGTGAAAGAACACATGAACACTGTATAGAATCAGTCTCAATTTCTGGGAGCTTGAAGCCTGTAGCAAAAAATGAGAGTTTTTTAAAAATTATCTCTCCCTGCTATTTCTTTTCCACGTAAGAACTATGCTTTGTGAAGGTGAAAAAGCCACATAAAAAGGTTGGTTTAGATTAAGTGAAGAACTTTTCTTGGAAAATATAATCTTCTTCAGGCATAAGTAAGTGGTTTTCGGTACTGCAGGAGCATTTTAGTAATCTGATGCTGAGGTTTACCACCCTAAGGAAGTAGAATATTGTGATGTTAGCCGGATACCTCAAGGTGATCCTTCACGTGACTCAGAAAAAGGTAAAAGAAAAGAAATGATGTATTTACAACATCACATGTAATCAGACAGTTGAGTTACAAATATTTATGGGGACAAAGGGGACAGAATGCAACACAAAACACACAAAACTTGAGTGCTTTAAAGTGGTTTGTTTTTGTTTTTTTTTAAATTTAGGGGTTTTTTTGTTGTGTTGTTTTGTTTTTAAACAGTACCAAGGTTTGGCTGGAAGAAGCACTAATGAAGTGTTGCAGCTCTACTCTGCTCATGGCCAGCAGCAGAAATTGCAGAGAAGTTCTGTTGTAACCCAGCTGCATGGAGCAATAAAGGTAAAGACATTTAGTAATAATGTAGGCATAACCTATGCCCTAAACATTTACATGTTTATTGAATACAGTAAAACCCAGAAAATGGTCAGATATGAACCTGATCTGTGGCTTTATTGTATTCACAGTAGTGTTTGCAGTGAAGTGTAGCAATGCCTGAATTAGCTTAAAACTTAGAGGGGTTTTGCTGCAATAGCCTGCAAATTCACCTGAGAAGCTGGTAAAAGTGGCTGCTCCTGAGCTCCAGAATCTTATGTATAGGCTGCTATCAATACCCAAGCTAGATATTTTTATAATCAAAACCTTGCAATCCCTGATTTGACTATCATATAGACACCTCCTAAAAAACAGTAATTGTGATATACTTTAACCAGATGGACAGATCCTTTAAAAAAGCATTGGAGAGCTCCATTGATTTCACTGAGAGTTTTGCTCTGGTAGACCTCACAAGAGCAAGTAGTTTGCTGTGTGCTCACTCAGATTGTCTTAATTTTGCATCAAAGAGATTGGAACTGTTCTCCCAGTACCAGTACCATAATATTTTCCTCTGTTGAAGTTACTCCATAGAATAGTGAGTTCCTTTTAAGGACACTGATAAATGTCAGCTTTTCTTAGGGCATAAGGCACTGAATGCCTGCATAAAATAACTGAAAAGTATCTCAGGAAAGAAATTTGATTCTTAACAGGCAGAAGGATGTAGCTTAACTGTAGTATAGTTGGACTAGATGATTGTTGTGGGTCCCTTCCAACTGAACTGTACTGTTCTGTCCTAATTACAGTGATTCTGCTCAGTAAATTTTGCAGTAGTGTTTTACATTTTAGGTTAGGTAGAGTGGCAGAACTGCTTGTGATGCAATAACAGTGGATTGAGATGGTTTACTCTCTGTTGTGGTTTAACCCCAGCTGGTAGTTGCGCCCCACGCAGCCACTTGCTCACTTTCCCGTAGTGGGATGGAGGAGAGAGTCGGAAGAGTAAAAGTGAGAAAACTCATGGGTTGAGATAAAGACAGTTTAATAGGGAAAGCAAAAGCTGTGCACACAAGCAAAGCAAAACAAGGAATTTGTTCCCCACTTCCCATGGGCAGGCAGGCGTTCAGCCATCTCCAGGAAAGCAGGGCTCCATCACAC